ATTTTTAAAATAAAATAATCAAAGAAAACCAAAACTCTTGTATACAAATAACTAGAAGAACGAAAACTTTTGAAAATTTTTGAAAAATTTAGAAGATTCAACAGTGTTTTTCAAAACAATTTGCAGAAAGTGTTTGATTTTTTGGGAATTTTTTGTTTAGCAAAACGGCAAAAAAATCCAAAATTAATTTTACCTGCATAGTTTTAAATTTTCAGGGTTTAAGTTAAGGATAAACAAACTTTTGAAAGGCTGCGCGCTTGCTTTATTTTCTCAAAATTGAAAAGAAAATCAAAAATTTCGAACCTGTTTTTCTTAAAGCTGAGCAAATTTTCAAAAGTTTTTAATGTCGTTCGAATCAGTACTGAAATAGATTCATTATTGTACAACATTGGACCCATTTCGATGATTATTTATAGTTCTTGATTTTGCATGAAAAACAAAAAAAGAAAAAAACTAAAAAACACCCGAATACATAACTCCTCACCATTTCAAGTTAGATATACATAAATGTTGCAAGGAAAAATTGTACTGACATGAAAACTTTCAAAAATTTTTAGAATTCAAATATCGAAAAAAAATATCACGTTTTTGATTTTTTTGAATTTCAATAATTCCATTAAGTCTAACAATTTTCCTAAAAATAAGAATAATTTATTTTACAAAAAGCTACAAAGCCAACTAAAGAAGTTTAAGCCCGAAAAAAAAACTGGATCAATGGCTTGCATGCCTGCTTGATTGAAATTGTCTCTCTGGTCGTCTTTGTTTCTGGTAGTTTTTTATGTTTACCTTAAGCGTTGTGGTAAACTTTTTGAATAGATGCCTTACCGTTAGTACCAAGAGTATGTCTGCTACAAATCTATTTATAGAACATATATTTGTGTTTACATTTTGCCTAAGTTCTGAGGCATACCGGATATTCAAAGTGGAAAATTGAAAATGTCAATCAAGACATGCTTCTGAGAAAAAAAATATTTTGCAACTCATCTACTGATTAAGAGAACTGACATCAAGAATAGCTTGGATCAAAAACAAGAAACATAGCAAGTAGCATAGAAGGTTCGACTACTGTACAAAAACTATTAAAAAATCTTTTTCTAAAACAAGTGTACTTTTTTCAGCGTGTTGTGATCTGACGTAGAATTATTTTAAAGGCATATTCGATTTTTTATAATAATTTAATCAAATAGAACCAAAATTCTATACAAATAACTAGAATAACAAAAACTTTCAAAAAAAAATTTAGAAAGATTCAACAATGTTTTTCAAAAAAATTTGCAGAAAGTGTTTCATTTTTTGGGAAGTTTTTGTTTTCCACAATGGCATAAAAATCCAAAATTAATTTTACCTGCATGGTATCAAATTTTCAGGGTTTAAGATAAGAATAAGCAAGCTTTTGAAAGGCTACGCGCTCGCTTTGTTTGCTCAAAATTACAAAGAAAAACATAAATTTCGAACCATCTTTTCTCAAATCTGAGCAAATTTTCTAAGTTTTTAATGTCGTTAGAATCATTTCTGAAATGTTTTCATTATGGTACACCATAGGACCCATTCCAATGATTATTTGTGTTTCTTGATATTGCCTGGAAAACAAAATAAGAAAAAACTAAAACGCACCCGAATACATAACTCCTCACCATTTCAATGGTCGGAACAACAGCACGATAACTGTTGCAAAAAATGAAAAAACACTATGATTTTTCTAATTTACAAAACAAATTTAAATTTATACGTTCTTTGAGTGTGCTTTGACAGCACCCAATTTCAGAGTTCGTAATTACAAAGTTTGCAAAAATTTTATTCAAGTTTTTTACACAAATTTTGAAAAACCATAAAATTTTGTGTAGTTTTATAGAAGTTCTTCAAAAAATTAAATTGAACTAAGAAACGTCACATCTGGGAAGCTAAAAGCAAATGAGCAGTCGCATTTGGACGCAAGATTTACAACTCCTGAGAGTACTCTTACATTACCCAACTACAACGTTGGGAAATTCAACTTTTGAGAAACTGCACCTTAAGTTTTCTAAAGAGGTATTTTTTGAAAACCAGAAAAAACTTCACATCTCGAAAACTACCAAACAGTCTTATTAGATGGCAATAATTGCAATCTTTGAAGGTACTCTGACAGCACACAACTACAGGGTTGGGAATTTACCTTTAGTGAACTTTTTTGTAATTTGAGTTTTCTGAAAAATTCCAAAAAAATCAGAAAAACAGTCGTATCTGTTGAACTAAAAAGATTTGAGCATTCTCAATTGGAGGCCTAATTTGCAACTCCTGAGATTACTCTGACAGCGCCCAACTACAGGTTAAGAATTTCAAACTTTGAAAAAAAAAATCAGTTTAATTTTCATAAAATTAAAAAAAAAACACAAAAAAACGTCATTTCTGGAAAACTGCAAGGTTTTGAGCAGTCTTATTTGGAGCAAAAATTCACAACTCCTGAGAGTACCCTGAAAGAACCTCACTACAGAGATGGTAATTTCAAGTTTTATAAAAAAAATTATACCCAAGTTCTCTGAAAAATTTTGAGGAAATCCTAAAAAACGTCATATCTCGAAAACTACAAAATTTTGAGCAGACGTATTCATAGGCAAGATTTTCAACCCCATGAAAGTACACTCACAGATTTCAATAACAGGATTGAGATTTTCAAAATTTTGGAATTTTTGAACATCTATTTTTTTTCAAAATTTTGGAGAAAATCATAAAAAACGTCATATCTTGAAAACTACAAGGATTTGAGCAGTCGTATTTGGAGGCAAAAATCGCAACTCCTGAGAGTACCCTGACAAAGCCTCACCGCCGAGATGGGAATACCAATTTTTGTGATTTTTTTCATATCTAATTTTCTGAAAATTTTTTTTTTAAATCCTAAAAAAAAAACGTCATACCTCGAACTACAAGGATTTGGTTATTCATATATGGAGGCCAGAATCGCAAAACCTGGGAAAACTCTGACAACATCCAACTATTGGGTTGCTAATTACAAACTTAATGAAAAAAACTGAATTTAAACGGGAAAATGGAAAAAGCCTTAACCATTGCAATATACGATTTAGCTTAAACGTGAATAAAATCTTTTGGTAAAGATGTAAAAAAACACGTTGAAAAAGCTTAAACATGGCGAGATAGTGAAGCCCGCATTTCAATATATAATAGATGATAGATTTGATAGAACAAAAATAAAAAAAATTAGGAGACGGGTAGACAGACATAATGAAATTAATTTAAAAAAGCAGGTATACAGACAGACAGACTTAATTTGGGCTCAAAAGAAATTACTGATAAATTAATGACCTTGCGGAAAATTAAATGAAAAATTTTCTTAAACATTGCAATATATGATATAGCTTAAACATGAAAAAATTCTTTCGTTAAACATGCTAAATTTTTAAGCTTAAACATGGGAGATAACTGTCAATAGCATTTAAATATAGTATAGACTGAGCAACCAACAAGCTAAATTTGAGCTAGTAAAGAAATCGTGTAATGAAAATCGGAATTTAGGCAAAATAACTTGGTTTATTCAAAAGAAAACTTAGTTATGAAAGCTAAATTCAGCGTTTACGTGCCACTAAAACTATTCAAATGTATTCGTAATTTGGCAAAAAATATTGAAAAGTTTTCATTACAATTTTTTTCTATACACTTTTTGAAGAAACCTGTTGATGATAATACCTAATTCGCTAACTTTCTATGCGTTTGTATACTACTCTCATTACATAACGCACAAAAAATGACAATAATTTATAGATTTTTTTAATTTAAACATGCTCGGAATACTCTGTGCTACTTGCACACCAACCCGCTATTATTGTTTTATTTAGCTTGCTCGAAAGAAAAAAAATCAAATTAACTTTTGCATTCCATAGTTCAACTAGATCGAAATAAAGTTTTATTAGGTTTTGCCCTTCGCAAATGCGCGAGACTCTTCTCTCTTAGCTTTTTCGAGACACTCCTCTGTCACACTTATACTTCTTGTGTCATTATCAATGTTTTGTTTTGAGACTTCAGCTCCATCAGAAACATTACTTCCAAAAACCAACTTTGAGTTCATTTGATTTTTCGGCACGTGGATCTATCACCTGTTTTTCTGTTGCATATGGTTTAACAAGTCTCTGAAGCAAGTTCCCTTCATCACTTTGTGGGGCTGTTCCCATGAAGGAAGGATCAAATGCGCAAAAAAATAGCAACCAATAAACGTTTTTGAAACTTTCCAAAACGGTCTTTGGAATTTTTGAATATGGTTTCTATTTGCTGACATAACTTATGGGCAATCACGTGCCTGTTTTAAAAAGACATATGTAAAATAATACAATTCGAGGTGGCATAAATGAACTGTCGTAAGTAGCTTGGCATTCGCTTAATTATAATTAGGTCATGATAATCATTCTCGCGGGTAGAATGGAATAATGTATGTAGAATAGAATGTATGTTATGGTCCAAGTAACCGAATCAGTCCAAAATAGGCTGACGAGCAGAGCAGCTCTTTCATGATTTACAATTTACAGTACATAACCTCAATGAAGGAATCAATTCATTAACAGAATAAAGACAACAGAAAATTATTCGACAGCAGAAGAGTAATTAGATTAAATCGCAAATATTAGAGAATAGAGGATCGGATGCAAAAATATATGATCATTTATGTCGCATATTATAGTTAATGCCAAGCTCGACCAAAAAAACAAGCTCCCCCCCCCAAAAAAATCAATTTAGGGACAAGACCGTTCTTTTGGTGAAACACCTGTTTTTTTAGACAATTCAAATAAAGCATTTCGCATGAAAGCTTAACTGTTTAATTTTGTCAAATTTTAATGGATGTGATCGTTGTTCATTTAGGGGGAAATGGTTCACATGTGCATCCAATTTTTAGTATTATCGGTGACCTTCAGCATCTTAATTGGTAAAAAAAACTGCTTTCTTGGCTAATTATTTTTTTGACACTGTTTTTTGGCTGACTTAAAAAATGATTTCGAACGTCAAAATGAGCGTTTTAGGTTAACTTACTTTTCTCAGATTCGCTGCGCGAAAAGAATATCGCCAAAATTTTGGCATTAACTATAAAAGAAAACCAATCAAAACAAGGTTTTACCATGTGGTAAATGGTTTGCTTCGATAACAGAATAAATCAATTCAAAATCCAATTAATGATTGTTAATTACGCAGAAGTTTATTGTAATCTTCATTGAAAATGCCAGTTTATATTTGCGGTGAATTTAGACTCCAAGAAATGAAATAGACGTCTTTCTGTGAAGAACAATGGATCTAGATTATACTTGTGAGCGTACTAATTTTGTAATTGGTAATATAAGGATTATATATCTTAGCACCAAAGCAGTTTAGATTCGATTGATCATCAATAAATAATCCGCTTCAATTCCAATTCAAAAGCCAACTTTCTAGTTGTGAGCATGATTGCTCCAAGACTGAAGCTCTTCAATTTTTTTATCTTCTAACTAACATTCTGAATTCAACATTGAGCATTAATCAAGACATGAATTTGTTTCTTAGAGGAAATGTTTCATTACTGCATTAATTCAACCTTATTCCGGTAACTTTTAAAAATAATTTAACCAAATTACCCAAAATTAAGTTCGCCCATAAAGATTATAAAAGTAGAAATGCAGGCTAACTAAAGAGTCAATTTGGTTCATCGTTGTCGTCAGTTTTTTCTTAAAATTTAATCCGATTATCAATCCAGGGTTCATTTTGTCTTCCATTGTGGTTTTTCGAATTGTTTTCGCGATGCTTCCGTCTTGATAACATAGCTTTTCTTTAATTTGTTTCTACGTGAGGCGTGATTGGCTGATTTGAGTTGTCCAATCAGAAGTTGGATAGTTGAGACATGGACTGCAAATGAGTGGCACTTATCTTGGGCTGCTCAACTAGGGATGAAGACGTGAACAGTTTATACCATCCAATCACAATGCTCGAAGACAGATTGAGGTCGTCCATGTTTATCTGGGCCACTCCCATGAAACACTTTCGCTCCATCCGACCATAGTCGCCCCACACAGTTACCTGTAATCACACACACATGCAACATTATAATCAGAATCACCATAAAGTTTAAAGCAAAACCAATTTTATTTCGACCAGTGAAGGGGGAAACAATCTGTCTATGAGGGTCAACTAGCATTACCCATCCCAGAAAATCAACCAAAAAATTCATGTAGTTGTTAACCAGGGGCGCAACAGTGGCTCTCCGAAAAGAGAAGTCAGAATTATTTCAGGAGTTTAAGAAATGTCCGATATATTTGTTAAAAGCTATCGAAAGTAGAATGACACAGGAGAAACTGTCTCGAGGCACTAGTCATTAATTGATTCAAGTGCTCTACAGAGTAGGATGTTTCCTCTCGATAGAAGCTTCGAAAGATAAACCCAAACAAAATATGCAGAGCTGAAGCTGCACTTTGAAAACACAAACAAAAAAAACGACAGAAAAATGAGTGGAAAAATTTAACTTCGATAAAAACTATTCTGCTGCTACGGGACTCGATTACAGACCTTGTTGCCTTACACTGGTCTTTTCACGTTTCTAAATTTACCAAGCAGCAAATAATGCTCTTCAATAAAGCGGGTACATCTAAACATACAGAGGCGAAGCTGTGCTTCGCAAACACTTGCGAGAACATGACCAAAAAAGAAGCTCTATCAAATGAAATTTTAAAAAAAGTAGAAATAAGCCTCGAATTAGTATAAAATCGGCTACGTATTGGATTCGGATCTGCGACCTACTGCAATCAAGATACTTTGAGTTGCACGCACTATCCACTCAGCCACGCAAGCTTAACAACCGACAAACACTAGTCACGAATAAAGCAGCTACATATGCTAATAACTTGCCAATTCGATAGAGCAAAAGTAGCACCAAATACAAAAAGATACAATTTTGCATGTAATAAATTGCAAATCATAAAACCATAATGTATAAATTATGCATTTAAAAAAATTGCGAGATATATTAAGTAAGAAAGTTTCTGAAATCGAGTTTTCATTATTGCTATGTTGGAAACCAATCACTTTTTCGGTTCATTTGATGAACTAAAAACGCATCAACTGTGTTTACTTACTACTATTCGAATGTCACAACACTTGTTATCAAAAAGCTGTAAAGGTGCCCCAATACTATTGGGGTGCCGCATCAATATTTGCGACTTAGATTGAAAAAAAAGAAGGTTCGTACTAATACACTCTCTTCGCAAGTGTAACTAGACAAGACGTGACACATTTTTGAAAAATTCCGATTGTATAAGACTACGCTTGCTTCTTAAAATTCATTAAAATGAAAGGTTCATTATAAATGCATGTATCGACTTTATGTAATAAACCCTCCACTGACCTGTAGTGTTCTGCCTGAGCCGCCAGCAGTAGGGTTTGGAATGTCTGGGAAAGTGAGCTGCTGCTGGAAGTAGGGGTCTGTGGTTCGTCTCGCAATCTTCGTCTTCGCCTTCCCACAACACTTCTTACCCTCCATCAAATACACTTTCACAAACGCCGCTACAACACAACAACACCATTAAAAGCGTCGAACGGAAATTTTAGTTTACATTTTTCTCATCAACTTCTATACTCCGTGCCATCTAATGCCCCAAACGAATTTAATTGTCAGGAGCTAGTTGTCTAAAATATGAAAATATTTATACAGTGCGTGTAAATTATCTACAAAAAAAAGAAGTTTGAATTTGTACAAAAAGTTAGAAAGTTTGAATTTTCAGTAGTGTTTTTTAGATACTTAAAATTAGCGTTCTATAAACGATTTGATATTGAAATATTACTCCGAGCAATTTATCTTCGTTGGAAAACTACAAAGCCCGAACAACAAATTATTAAAAGTTTCATACAAGTTAACCGCTTCAAGTCAGAAGAGGGCTTGAAAAGTAAACTCAATTTGAGAAAAGCAAGTTCAAAATTTTCAGTTTCAAGACTCTTGAATTGAAGCGTCCTTTTGCATGAAAAATATCAATTATTGGCATACCAAATAACTCGGATTTTAGCTCCTCACCTGGAAACACTTTGGACATGGGTCTCACAGTGAGGTTCCTGGCCCGCACAATCTCCACCTCCAGACTGGTGTTCCTCTTTAGCCCAATACTCAGCTGGATCTCCCCTAGACAGGGCGAACCCAGAACCTGTCTGCCCACAACCTGTCCAGGACCCAAGTCGTCCACGAAAGAGTTCAGCTGCTCGTTCGCAGGGGTCGCGTACTGCGTCTGCAGAAAGCTACAGCACAAAATGTACCAAAAATATAACAAGTTTGTTTTTAAGACCCTTTGCTGGCCAGCGGTTTCCCAATTTTAAATATTTGTTGCGGTGGACTAATAATATAGCCAACTGACAGTTGGAAACAGTCAATGAACGCAAGAAAACAAAAAAAAACTGAATTATTTTTTTCTGAAAACTCGACCATTGAAGGTCAAAGATAAAAAAAATGAGCCCTTGAAAACTCGAATTTGATGAAAAATTACGATTGACAAGCTAATTTTTTTATTCGGTTGGAAAATCTAAAAATACAATTCCATTTTCCAAACTAGAATTCGATCACGTTTTATGAGACCCTTATATTTTAGCTGCTCGATAGTGGAGTTCGTCTTCTTTTTAACAATTTAAATGAACTGAACTTGCAAAAATCAGAAGTCAAACCGCGAAAAATCAAAATTGAGCGTCAACAAATTTTAAGACTTTTTCCTGTAAAAAAAACCACCAAGAACTATAAAAGAGCTCTCACTATGTTCATTACTCTTCATAAAGTTTAGTTATCAGAAGGAAGACGTGATATAACTTAGTTAGAGGTTCAATGCCAGATTATTCAAGTTGACATAAATGAGACAGTCGTGATCGTTCTAGGCCATGACTATACGCTCATCCCAGTGTGGATTCATAGTAGCGCATCAATAAATAGATAGATAGCCAACAGAAATATGGAAAACTGTCAATGATATCCAGAAAACCAAAAACGTTGCAAAATTTTTGAAGCATTTTCAAAAAATATCATTAAAATTTTTTTGATTTACAACAATCACGAAGTTAAACAGAGCAAATCAGATGTGCTAAATAAACGAAGTAAGGCTCCTAGCAAGATATACACTTCGTTGACTGGTGCTTAATAATTGACTTACAGAGATGCATCCATGGAGGCGGCTCCCGTGCCGGTGCTTCCCGAGCTGGAGTGGAGAGAATGGTTGTCCATCCTACTTAAGAGATACTTCTTCATGTCATCATGTGTGTGGAATCCCACTTCGGCTGTTCGGGGAATGCTGATGCGCTTGTTCCTCACGTCTACAAAACACAGTTGCATTGGAACATACAAATTGAGTCACTTTCTCACTTAGTACTGGCTCTTTTCCACTCCCCACCACCTCAAAAAAATTGAAAACCGCAATCAATTTTCAAATTTTCCAGGTCATGATACTTTTACATGTTATTATTACTGTTTAAGTTAAGTTTAATTATACGATTTAAAGAACCAATGCGTTCAGAATACTTAATTTGCTCATCGGACAAAAATGCGTTCCAGCACGACTGCAACGTTGAAATAGTTTTCCAAATTGAAATTCAGAAAAGGGGGAATTGGAAAAAAGGGGGAGGTGGAAAAGTCACTAAATAGAAAATTCAGAAATGAATTCAAAACCAAGACGATCGATATGAAAGAAATCTCAAAAACGGTCATGTTCTAGAGCAGCCAAAACAATGATATGGAACATTACTTCTTGAACAAGTTTACCTCATCTAAACGGCTATTTTATTACACAAATTTCGCTTGTGCAAATAACAGCCTTAACTATGTATTAAGTAACTAGGAGCAAAGATTAAGTTCACTCGGTGAAATGAAAGGGTTTAATTTCGACTTTTCTTCACACAGGGGCAGAATACTTCAATAAATCGAAACTGATTCAATCGTGTTGTGCTCAAAATGATTTGTCCACTTCTATTTTACTGACTACTTGAAGCTGATGCATTTGATCTCGCGGAAGATGTGAGCGACTTCATGCTCACAGATCTATTGGACCCAGAGATACCCGCTCCACCCTCCGACAACCCAGATAAAGTATGACTGACTTGGTCCGAGTTTGGACCACCTACTTTCTCTTGTAAAGATACACCAATATCTAGTGCCTTGTCTTCTTGTAGCTGCTTCTGCTTTGACTCTTTCTTTGGTTTGCCTTTTTCACATTCGTTTTCATCTTCCAAAATATTCAACAATTTATTTTAAAAAAACAATTAGACTGACTGCGCCTAGGTAGTACTGTCAAATATTTTTAAAAACCCACCGAAAATCTAAGCGACCTAAATTACGCATCATTAAACGCTATTTTGCAAGCACCGTTCATGCCTATAACCAAGTAGAGTTATAGCCGACCAACATGTATGTCATATGATATTGTAAGAAATTTGAATCCCAGTTTTAGTTTTCTCTAAAAGGGAGAAAAAAAAGAGAGAACCAGAGTTATAAATTTCTCACCTTGCAGCTGAGTCATGCTGTTGCTCTTTTTAGACAGACCCACTAGAGCTCCTATTTTGTGTCCGATCGAAGGCCGCCTCTTCTTGCTCCCAGGCCCCCCGCCCATCATACCCCCAAGACCCATCCCTCCCCCTGAGTCGGAGAAGAAACCTGCCTCTGCGCCCATTGGCATACTGGCACTCAACATTTGTTGTGCCTCATCCACAACTTGCTCCATTCTAAAATCAATTTTTTCACTAAAAAAAAACTAGCAACTTTTTAAGTGGAAAAACGATTTCAGTTTTAAATGAAAATAAAATCCTTGGCAGGTGAAAACATATCAAGCTCCTAGAACATAGCCAGCGAAAAGATGAAAACTGTCAATGCACTCAAGGAAGCCAAAAATGATACTTTTTGATCATTTTTAACATTAGAAGGTCGAAAAAAAGATGTATCACGTTAAAAAAACTTTAGATCTTAGTTGGAATTCAAGTACACAAGCAACAAAACGACTCTAAAAAGGCAAAGAAAAAGGAAACAAAAAGTCTTAAGAACCTTTCTATGCGCCGAACTCCAACCAGAGACTTAAAGATTGAGTAGCTTATGTCCTCCCAACTTCGCAATGTGCTGTGACAGATAGTCCATCACTATTGTTCCAGCAGAAACTGGGGGTATCTGTTTGAACTTTTGTTGGAATACGTTTTACTGATGCAAAAGGAACTGCATAATTTTCAAAATGTCAAAAAACGGACTCGTTCTCATAATTGAAGTTTCCAAATTACGTTTAAAAAACAATAAAAGAATCTGAAATTTAACTTTTGCTAATTTCATAAAGTTTTCCCTGGTAAAGCTAGGGAAAACCTTTTTGCAGGTTAGATTCCCAAAATCTGTTCCTTCAACCTCCGATTTGAGAATTTAGAGAATAAGAAAAAAAATTCACAAAAGTGTCATAACTTCTGCTTGCTTTATGCTGGTTTTTCTGCCAAAATTAGGGAGCTCCGGCATATGCAGGGAAAATTCCCACATGTTATTTCTGTAAAACGGTGCAAAGTTCACAAAACGGCCAACTTTTCCTAAGACCATGCTGGTGTTTATATAGAAAATAGCTTAAAAGCATTTATTCGGGGCAAATCCCCTCGTTCTTTTATTTCGGTTCGACTCCGAATCGCAGATTCTGTAAGGTATTTTTCAACAAAAGAAAAACTTTCAAAAAAACTGTCGATATATCAAAAAATAGCATTTTTTTAAGAACATGACGTTTTCTTTAAACTCAAGGGCGTAGCTGATTATTCCGGGAAAAAGTCTGCAATCAGCTCTATTGATTGAACTCTCAATCTCAGATTTGACAGGGAAGTTCGAAAATTGGACACTATATAGCAGCATAACATTTTTCTATAAATATAAGGGCGTGACACTTTTTGCAAGGGATATCCTTATGACATGTTCTATCAATTTAACTTTCAGTCTCACATTTGGCATGTCAATTTTTCAGAAAATGAATTGAATCGAAAGGGATAAAAAAAAATTCCCCGCACTGAAAATTCGAAGGCCCCAGAACGTGGGAAAAAGTTTAAAAAATTATCATAATATGCTGAGACACAGTGAAATAGACAATTTTTCCATTGGTACAATTTTCATTTAAAAAATCAGTGAAACGTTTTCCAAAAAAAAGTAAAACTTCTGAGAAAAAGGCAAAAATTTTTGAAAAATCTTGAAATTTTTAGTCTTTTATCTTTTTGTGTTATAAAATATAAGCTCAAACCATTTAGATCGAACAAACTTTTACGTTAAAAAACAATGAAAAACACGTCCAGCAATTTGGGGATGCTCATGGCAAATGATGTTCAATTTGAGGAACTTAGCCAACCGACAGTTGGAAAAGAGTCAATGAACGCAAATAAACAGAAAGAAGACTGATATGTTTTTTTTTCTGAAAAAATATCAAACTTAGTAGACATAAAATAAAGAATTAAAGCTCTTCGAATTTCCAGAGCAATTTCTAATTGACGCTTTTTTGATAAAACTAATCCAGCTAGAGAAAACTGGATCAATAGGAAAAAAAATTATTTCGCTGGATATCTGAACATAGCCAACTAACAGTTGGAAAAGAGTAATGAACGCAAAGAAACTAAAAAAAAACTTACTTCAAGAGCCTTCAATTTTTGAATTTCGAAGAAAAAAATAGATGGCCTTAAAACTCTTTAAATTTGTAGACCAATTAATGACGGACGCCTTTTGCTAAAATTGACCCCATTTGAGAAAATTGGATCAATACGTTTAACTTTTATTTTGCTGGGAAAACTGATACTTATTTTCCATTTTCGAAATCAGAAGTCGATCGTGACTTTTAAACCTTTGCTGTTCGATAGTGGAGTTTGCCTTCTTTTTAACAATGGAAATGCACTGAATTTAAAAAAAAATTACAAGTCAAACCGCAAAAAATCAAAACTGAGCGTGAACAAATTTTAAGGTTTTTTCCTGAAAAAAAAAAACAAAAAAGAATCAGCAAGACATATAAGAGTATTCACTACGTTCATTACTCTTAATAATTAAAATACATTTCCGATATTAGAGATCGATCTCATTTATCAAGACCTTTACACTTTTGCTGTTCGATAAATGGAGTTTCCTTCCTTTTAACAAAGGAAATGAACTGAACTTAATAAAAAATCAAAAATAAAACCGCGAAAAAGTAAATTTGAACCGGAACAAAATCTAAATCTTTTCTTAAAAAAACAAAAAAATCATCCCGACCTATACTACGTTCATCGATGATATTTACAGAGCCTATCTAGAATGATAGCGCTATGAAAGGCACTTGCTATCAGAAGTGTAATAAGACCAACGATTACTAACTTGACCCCATATCTCTTGCTCTGAGCCAGAAGCCAGTCGTCGATATCTTCATCTTCGTCTTCCTGGTTGTTCAAATTGTCTCCTTCGCTCCTCATCGACGCAGCTGCATTCCTTCTGAACTCCAAGTCGATATCATCCTCCTCTTCTTCCTCGTCATCTTCTCGTGAGTTGCTAAGAGTCCTCGATGCTTCAGTGAACTCATTGTTCCTAGTATCACTGCTCGTTTGTCGCCGGGAACTTTCGTTTTCTCTTTTTGAGTCGTACTCCTGATTGTAACTGTCGTTCGATCTCCAGTCAATATCTCTTGTGTCTCGATTAGGTTCCGGGAATTCCTCAGTCGGGGAAACATCGTTGTTATAGTTGTCGATTCTTTTCGAGTGACTCCTTCGTGCATTTTTATCGTTGTCCTCTGAGTATCTCGATGCAGTCGGCTCGCTGTTCTTTTTCCGATAATGGTCATCGTCTTCAAAATTCTGCTCTTCCTCTTGATAAGATCTACTTTTGATTGTTTCCAGGCGATAACTTTTATTGTGCCTATCTTTTGGACTTCTGCGATGCTCTCCAGAGTATGATGTTTGCTCCTCGTAGTTTGAGGAGACTTTTGTCGTTTTTCGACTGCTTGGAGAATCAAAAGACGAATCGTCTCCGAAGCGACTGCTTCCAAAACTATCTCTGTGTTTCTCTTTCAGGTCTTGAATTAAGGCGTCTTCGTGATCGTATCTATTGTATCTCATACCCGTTACGTCACTCTGGGAAAAGTAGTCGAGGTCTTGCTCGTTGTCAATTAGCTCTTGGTTGTCGAAATAACTCAGTGCATCTGATATCTGTCTGCGTAACGAGGGACCCCCCTCTTGAGGTGATGGTGATATTGGTGGATTCTGAACTGAGTTTTTTCTTCTCGGTATCACTCCATCTTAAACAACGACTATCTTGTAACATTTCACAAGTGTAACCCTTATCAATTTTCTACGCAACAGTCTTCAGCCGTTTAATTCGTGGCCATATTGCGCATCACTTGTTTTAGCGACAAGGCATAATCTTGGAACCGAACCAAGTTAAATGATCAAATTAAAAGATACAAGACCATTTTTTCTTAATTTTTCTTCGTTGTCCTAGAAATTACATCAGAAAAAGCTGATGACGCTGATAGTGTATAACAGATCAATAGCATTAAAAATTGTTTGATGGGGAATACTTGATTTTGCATTTTGTGTCGGATAGCAAACACTCCATAATTAATAATAATAGTAAAACTTTTAAGTGAAAATCTTTACAATGCACGATTAACCCCACCGAAGGCGGATCTACGATTTTTTCGAGGGGCGAGAGGAGGAGTTTAAATTTTAAAAAAATAATAAAACACATTTTTTTGAACCAACTGGTTTTCCGAGCAATCCCAGAACCCGTGCCCCCATATTAGGCTTGTCTAGCATCTAATAAAGGCTACCTTGTTGTGCTGTGGAGGGCGAGTAGATGTCTGCTCTGGGGGTGACAGAGTGTTCACTTGACTCGTCCTTCTGCTGAAGTTGCAGATTATTCTGCGTGGGAGTGGAGAGATCAGAGCGACCACCGGAAGGAGACCGACTGAAACAACGACACTCAAAACAACTTGCACAACTTTCAGTGATATTTCCAGTAACATCAAGTAAAATTAGCATGCAAACAGTAGTAAAACTGCAAAGGATTTTTTCATAATCGTTCTGTAAAAGTTCCAGCCACTGAATTGAAAATTTGTTAGCATATAGCTGAATTTTTGGTTAAGGATTCGATTGAGCGTTTTTGACGTTTAGCAAATTTTCACAAAATCGACGCTGCACTTCTCCAACACAAGCGAGAAAACGCTCAAAAAAATTATAAAAATTAAAAAGAAATATAGCCAACAGACAGGTGGAAAAATGTCAAAAAACGCAAGAAAACAAAAACTACCGAAGTAACATTTGTTGAAAAATCAACCTTCGAATGTCAAATATAAAAAATATGCCCTTGAAAACTCGAATTTGAAGAAAAAATTACGATTGACACTAAGGTAATTTTTTATTCGGTTGGAAAATCTAAAAATTCAAATCCACTTTTGACACTAGAAGTCGATTACGTTCTAGATGACCTTTGAAAATTTGGATGTTCGATAGCGGAGATTGCCTTCCTTTTGGCAAAAGAAGTAAACTGAACTTGAAAAAATCAAAAGTCAAGCCGCTCAATTTTTTCCAAATTTATTTCCGAATTTTCAATTACAGTGCTGATTAAATGATTCCGGACAAAACGAACAAAAATTGAAAATTAAAATGCGTTTTTCTCCAATTCGTTTCACTTTCGACAAAAAATATGAAAACAGAAATTGCTTAGAAATTCAGCGAAATCAATATGATACAATTGATTCGGATCTAAAATTGTAACACAAAACTTATATTTAGTCAACCAAAATTTACGCCAAAACTACCAAGTTGATCACTAATCTAATTAGATCAACTCGAGCTTCTTACGTAGCCCAACAAATTTCAAGAAAAAAATAATTTCCTACAAATTGCGCAGAATGTTCAAATATTGTTTTTAAAATAAAAACAATGTTTTATATGTTAACACAGGCGAGGCTGCGCTTTGCAGACACAAGCGAGGAAACTTCAAAAAGAGCTCTGGACAAGCAAAAAAAATTGAAAGGAAAACTTTATCAAAAACTCCATGAAAAACACCTTGGTGAGATTAGGAGTATGACATTCTACAATCTGCTTCACGGCTTTTTGTACTTTTAATAACACCAGCCACCAACAGAGCAGCTACAAAATTTATCAAATTGCCAATGTTATGCAGCAAAAACTCTGCCAAAAAAAAGCTTTTTAAATGTTCCGGATTTGAATACCCCACTTGTTGATTAAGGGTCTCACGTCCTCGCATCTGCGCCACGTTCAATTGGAAGTAAACGAGTGTCCCAGATAATGCTGGATCTACCTGTTCTAATATTTTTAATCATATCTTGTACTGATACTGAATTGCGTATTTTTCAAAATTTCAATAAAAATAAACTTAACGCTAAAACCTTTAGTTTTTCTGCTTAAGTCGATGATTAACCGCCGCCTATTTAAAGGAAAAAAAACTTTTACTCGATATTTTGATTGAAGTCTTCATTTCAGATTTGACTGGGTAAGTTTTCAAATATGCGAAAAATATTCCAAAAAACGATCAAAAATGATAAAATTTGACTATTCCTAAATTCATAATACTGAAGCATGAGAATAGCCTCTGCTTTCCGCACCCTGGATTTTTAAATTGCAACGTTAAGATCAGATTTAGCTTTTTCGAAAATGGTGATGAAATTTATTAACAAAACCGCAAAAATTTTCAAAAAATGGATTTTCCTGAAGTTGATATTGGCTTTTCTACAAAAAAATACGGGAAACATATTAGGCAGTAAAAAAAATTGAGCACCATGTTAGTGATGTATGCATGAACTATTAACTCCAGAATCAGCAGGTTAGTTTTAGAATTAAAAAGCAGGTTGCTCCAAAAATACGTGCAAAATTTCGATAATTGGACAATAAGGCCATATTTTTTTTCTAAACGCAGGGCATAGTCAACTGTAGAGGTAAGATTCGCATAAACGACTTTTCTCTTTCAGTTTAATCCTTTCATCTCCGATTTGGCAGGTTGGTTATAGAGAAAATTCAAAAAGCTTTAAAAGTTGACCAAACTGTGGACTAATTGCACATTTAACAGATTCTCGTAATCTTTTCTGCGTTCTCGTTCTTTGTATTTTTTATATTATCATTCATACTCTATCTGACTCACATTCTGCGTGGAGGCGGTTGTTGACGCTGATGTTGGTGTTGATTGTATCTGGAGGCCATTAGGTAGTTTCCATCCTCGTACTCTGCAGTAGAAATATCTCCTCCCTCCACGTCGCTGTGCCACAATCTTAAACAGAACAGACATAAAAACCATTTCCAAGGCTAGAACATGAAGATACATTGCAATCTTTCGGTTACCCCCCCCCCCCCCACACTTAAATGATAAAATGGACAAAATGTAAATTACGAAAAAGTTTAAATCAGAAAATAACTTTCACAAATCCAACAACTATGGTGGAGGCAAAAATGAAGCAATTTCATCTAACCTAACCTCCAACAAGTTCTTTTCCCCAGTTATATTGACATTTCTTCTCATTAACTTACCAAAATGAGTCAAAATGCGTTCTGCGCTGTCAATTCCAGTCGATTTTTTCAACATCAGCACCGGTAACGGTCAACAAATTTTCACGGTTTAAAAATTTGCCTTACATAATATTTCCTTCTAGACTATTTTTTTTCTATTTCCATTAATTTTCTACGTTTTTCTAGATTACAATTATCGACACTTTTTCTGTGTTCGAGACAATTATAAACACTTTTTCTGAGTTCGAGACACTTATACACACTTTTTCTTGTGTTCGAAGTTGTACTTGATATGAACTACCAACTGACCTTTCAGCAGACTGTCTGTTCCGCCTATCTGTGGGTTCCAGTAGTGCCGGGTGAGGGGGCAGGATGTTGCTATAGTCCGACATCGCACCTAGTGATTGGGGGTGGGGGGCTTGATTGGGATTAAGCAGGTGTGCGTTGATGGGCATTTTGCTCAGCTGTTTCACGCGGGACGCGGGTCCTCCCCTGTACCTTCGGAATCTGAACACCTCTCCCTACAACGAACCACAGCATAGTTCAATATCTTCCTCTAATCCAAGAAATCACTCAATTTTATCGCTTATGCAAGAGAATTCGCATGTTACAGAAGCCTTCTACGCGAAGTTTAAGAGACGTGAAAAATAAAAATTAATGCTTTTGTTTGACAAAACCTGTTTCAACGAGTAATTTGATATCAAACAAGCTTTATAAGACAAGTTAGAGTAGTTAAATTGCAGGACCAGCACCAGAAAATAAATTCATTAAAGCTATTGTCGAATGAAAAACGATAGTCCTGGAAAACTTAGTGATGATAACCTGTTGGTTGTTGTTGGTGTGAGAGGTATACAATTGGGAGTTGAGGTGAGCAGTGAAGGCGTTTGAGGAAGAGGTGGGCGCGGTCGAGTGTCTGCCACCACCGCCGCCCGTGGCGTTGCTCATGTACTTATGTGCAACCGCGCTCCCACCACCCAAAGATCCAAATCTAAACACGCACGTATTTAAACCTTAATCCACTATCACAGTCTATGATCAACACTGCTCAGCATTCAATATTTAAATTTTACACAGAGGCGGAGCTGCACTTCGCAAGCACCAGAAAAAAACGGCAAAAACTATCCCTGACAAAAAAATTGATATAGGAAAGAAAAAGTTTTAAAAAAAGCCCCAAAAATTTTGAAACTTTTGCTTTGAGCCGTAATATTGCACTAAGCTCGCAGGTGTAAAAATTCAATTTCATTTGTGAAATCAAAAGTTAAGCGGGAATGTCCGCGCCACTTCCAGTTTTGTTCTGGGATTTCACATATTTATATCTGCTTCACTAAATTGATTTTATGTAGACATAAAATATGTAACAAATAACTTCTAACACCATTTTGTCAATCCCAAATTATCTCCAACAGGCGCTTTTTTGCTTTCCCCGGTTTTGTTGTTTTATGTGTTGTTATGGCTAAAGGCGTGATGATACGATGTAAAGTTTTTTAAAAACAAATCTGTTCTCATTTATTTGTTTTTTTTTTCACCATGCCCAGATTCAGTGCATTATGACAACGTACAAGTAGTTTTTCAAAAGTGAAACTGAAAGGTGGGGGGGGGGGTGTTAAAAGAGGCCTCCTACCTAGTATCTTGGTGGGAGCGTAGGGAGGACCCGTTTTCTCCTAAAAAATAATCAGGCGCAGTTGAGAGGTTGTTGGGGTTTAGAGTCCCTGACTGCTGACTCATGCGACCAGGAGCATCTCGCTCATAGCGAGACGACGAGTACTGGGAGTCGACGCCGCCGCCGCTTCTGTGTCTGTCTCTCTGCCGCCGTCTCTGATTGGACTCCACGTCAGAAAAATAAGTCGGAGACCTGCAAATATACAAAATTGAAGTGCTTGAAACATTTTTAAGTCATTCAGATAATAGAAAGGTATTTCAAATTTATATAGAGCCAAAATGGCAACCAAGAAACCTAGCAAAAACATTGACCATGAATTTTTTAAAAGCATTTTCAGAGAAAAAAATCCATCGGACTGCTGGAAAAGAGTCAATGAAAGTTTTTTCAAAAAATCTCTCAATTTTCGAAATTCCGAGAAAAAAAAGGCCTTACAGCTCTTAGAATTCAGAACAACCTATGATTGACACTTTTTGGATAAAAATAAACTCAATTTCAGAAAAACTGAATCTATGAAAAAACTTTTTACACGCTGGCAAATCAACTAAATTCCATTTTCGAAATTAGTTTGTAAAGTTTTCCTTCGACAGTAAAGTTTGCCTTCCTTTTAACAAAGGAAATGAAGTGAACTTGAAAAGAAATCACAAGTCAAAAAGCGAAAAAACAAATTTGAGCCTGAACAATATTTGAGACTTTCATCGACTCTTCAAAACATATGACCATCGACACTTTCTTGATTAAATTAACCCAATAAGATAAAAATTACCCATCTAAAACCTGAAAAAAAAAACAAGAAGCCACACGACCTGAATAAATCGAAAGTCACTGCAAATATTAACACTTGAAAGAATTGAGTAAATTATTTTAGATGAAAAACTTAAAAATTATTATTAACGAAAAAAAATTATGATTTTTGAGGAGCAAAGCTTACCAACCTCTCAGTCGCGTATCTATTATTCCAGCCGTCATATGAAGATCTGCTTGTCGTGCGGCGGCGTCTCGACTCTACGTCTGTCAAATACAAGGCGGCATCGGGGTCGTCGCCATAGTCGGAACCCCTTCTCTCTGTGACGTAATGGTAGCTCTCACCCGCTGAGTGATAACCACTGGCGTACCTATAGAAAATAATGTTATCAAACTCTCTGCAAACATAGAAGCGAAGTATTGCTTGCGAGACCACCACAAACAAAGCATTGGAATCTAGAATACAAAAAATGAAACAAGATCTACCAATTCGAAAAAAAGGCAAAAACGTTGAAAAGCAACCATTGCAAAAATTGCATAATAATGTTGTCTAGCATGATGTTCAATTTGAGGAAAACATGTCAAGCAAGCCAATCTCTAGCGTGAAACATGACTTCAGAAACATTTATCGAGCTGCAATTATGCCGTCAAACTTGAGTAAACTCCCGTTGAGCCGACAGCAAAATTGTTGACATGATAAGCTTTGAGTTATAAAGTTCTAAGCTTTGTTACTTCCGTGTTTCCAGAAAGGGATGGAGGCGTAAGGATTTTTTAAATTCAAACAATGGAAAATTAGGTCATTAGGCCAATAAAACATTAGTCAGGAAAAAGAAAGGGTATAATAAATCAGGGCTAGTAAATTTATAAATTACAGGAGTAAATCACAAACACTTGTAACTACACTGAAAATAGCTGCAACTCCACTGAGAATTGCTTACAGCATCAGAAAGTGGCAACTAAGCCAACAAAACATAATCAGACGAACGATAGGCCGATATTAAAAAAACTGATTATTTTCAGTTTAAAAGAAAACCAGGTCCTGGTCGTATTCGAACCAAGGACTTTCGCCGCAGAGGCGTAATCCTTGCCTCTAAGTTAATTTTGCCGTAAATGCAAAGAAACTTGAATTTAATATAAATCAAGCTATCAATTGGTTCTGGTAAATAATTTGTTAAAAGTCTAAATTCCGAGTTGATTACGCAAGCTCACCACAAGCGTAAAATTAATCTCCTACTTTTAAGTTTTCAAAATCAAAGTCGACAATTGAAATTCAATGATAACGATATTGCTTATTAAAATGAATATTCGAGAAAATTTATCAAAACAGAAGCAAACACTAGCCAGAACACGACTAAAAAGCAGCTCTATAAAATGAAATAAGCCTCGAACTACAAAAATTCGCCAACGTCTCGGATTCGATCTGCGACCAGGAAATTATGAGTCTCACTCAGCCACGGACACTTAATAAATCACAAACACTGGCAACAAATAAAGCAGAGAACGGATTCTTTGAAATTTCCAATGCTACAGATTGTGATTATAGCATAAGTGCCACCAAAAAAGTGAACACTTTTATTTGCGAGTTAGGTTAGAAACAAAGAAGATTCGTACTATTACTCTACGCTGGCAAGTGTAATGAGCAAAAATAAAAAATACGATGCAATTTTTTTTCTTATTTTTATAGGCTGGGAAATATTAGATTGACAGTAGGGGTTCAGGAATTTTCTTTGTCGGTTCGGTTCACTTTCTGAAAAACTGGAATATACCCAAAAAAGAAGAAAATTTGTAATAATCATATCATGACAAAAACGCAGAACCGTCTTATCACAAAACTTAACTTGATGTGATAAATCTCGCTCGAATACCGAACCCAGAAATATCGTTTATTGAACTCAGCTTCGGTTCGCTCGCTTGTGTAAACAGTTTTCTCAAGTAATCTATTATCAAAAAAAGTCAAGACAGTATAAAAGAGAATAAAACTTTAATAGCTTCAATATTAGGGCAAATTTTAACATTCTAGCTACCTGTTACTGCGACTTCCAGCGGAATATCCTTGTTCATAGAATCCCCCCGCTCTTTCATTCGAAGGTTTCCGCCCGTATCTTGTGTCTGCGGCTGACAAAGAGAGGTAGTCTATCTGTTTATTGTTGTGGTTTTGGTTGGGGTAGAGGGGCTGATTTAGACCCGAGGGGTAGTTCAGCACTGGGTCCATGTCGGAAGAGCGTAGAGGGGTGGAGGGTGCGGTCGCTCCTTTCCGGGTGTCTAAGCCTCTTCCATCTGAAAAAAAAAGATTCGTCCTTAGGCTGAGGCCATTATTTTCAACATAGCCAATCGGTGATTGGAAAAGAGAAATAAATGCAAGAAAACAAAAAAAAGACTGACTGTTGAAAAAATCTCAACTTTCGAATTTCAAAGAAAAAAATTGATGCCCTTTAAGCTCTTTGAATTTCTAGAACAATTTATGATTGGCGCTTTTTTGATAACATGAACTCAAGTTGAGAAAATTGGATCAACAGGTAAAGTTTTTATTCCGCTGGAAACCTCAAAATCAAATTCCTTTTTCGAAACTGGAAATCAATCACGAATTTTCGCGCCATTTACGCGTTCGTATTCGGAGAGTGCTATTTACGTCACTTTCAGCAGATGAGTTTCATTTGAACTCAAAAAGTGCATATATACCTAAGTGCATTCTCAAATGCATCAATATGTAAGACTGCACATCTGTAGTTATTAGAGACTTTGTAGTAGTTAGAACATAGTTGAAAGATGCCCGAGGCAAAAAGAGCCCGGCCGGAGGGCACGAATTGCCCGAGCGCGACTCTTTTGCCCGAGGCCATCTTCAACTATGTTCTAACTGTTGAAAAGTATAGTATGTTTTTGCTCTTTTTGAGGAAAAGATGCCAGAAAATTGTGAAAAAGCCCGGAAAATTGTGAAAAAGCCCGGAAAAGTGCGCGCAACTATGCAAATGATTTCTTTTTTCATTCACGCTTTGTCGTGAAAGAACATGAGTGAAAGAGCAAAAACATACTCTTCTAAGACTTTTCCTGGCTAAAAAAAAACAAAAAATCAGCAAGACCCATATAAGAGTCTTCACTACGCTCATTATTCTAAAAAAACGTTAACTGATTCATCGCTTTCGTAGCTCATTTTACCATGAAATGTAGATGTATATTCTATCAAAGTTCGTTTATTTGCACTGATAGCACTTCAATGGTGTAATTTGTTGCTTTGTTTCGAAATAGAGGAAGAAATAGGGGGAGGGGTGTCCCTGTCCCATAGCTCCCTACTTTTCTTTGATGCCTCCAGTTTCTATTAGATTCAAGTCTGAAATTCGTGTTATTTGTTTTGAACCTGAAGGTTTGGAAGCTCCAAGAAGTGCCTGTGCTGCAGCCATGGGGTCCCCCACGGAGTCCCAGGTAGTCTTGTCACTCACTTCTGAAACAGACACGTCCAACACATTCATCACACAAATGGCTACTCAGCATCATCGAAAAGACAACAACAATCACACAACAGCAAACATTGATTGCAATTAATACACATTTAACTCAATGATTGCAGACAGTGACAGTGAATCAAATCAGATCGATGAAAATAGTTTCAGAGACGGTTTACATTACATGGCACGGATTATCGTGCGACGCTTCAAAAGAAAAGACACCATTTCTTAGTTTATATTCAGTGAACTCAATCAAAATCATGAAGGAAAATATTTAAAGGTACAAAAATGAAATAACCGACTTCAGACTTTTCAAAACTGAGAATTGCTATTTTCTGCAATCGACACAAATTTGAAGAGCCTTTCAAACAAAATTATGAAGAATATATATTGGGCAACACGCGACAGTAACTAGGAATGAAAGAGTCTCAGAAACTTATTCAGATACAAATAGAAAAAGAGCAAGCGTAAATTAGAGTTTATAAAATCTCTATTCTGGTACCTTTCTGGTCAAAACCAAAATGCCATTCTGGTTGCCACACAGCAAGTATGGTACATAATAGTTGTATTTCGCCCAGACACTGAACAGTTACAGCCAGCAGGAAATCTCAAGTACTCGAAATGGAAGAAAAATGTGACCAAGTTTACACTTTGACAAGCGCTGGCGTTGAAAGGGGAATGGGACTGTTTGCAACTAAAGACATTCAAAAAGGTATGTTTCAATTTAGAAAAAAAATCATGCACATTTTTAGAAAGCTGCGAGATTGTACAGCAAACATTTATTCAAATGCTGCAATTTTCTTTCAATGGTATAACAAAAATACGATTGCACATCCATCGAATAGCGATTGAGTTTTTTTGTCGCATAAAAGTTAGATCTCGAAGTTTCCTCGGTTGGACTGTAAAATGAACAGAATTCCAGTCGTCTGTCCTCGCCGAGTCTCGTTTTAAATGAATCAGGGTGCTGTTTTGAAATATAATATTAATTTGATATAATTGTTCCGAACATTGAAAATGGGGAGTATTCTTAATATTCGGATGTGTTCGGAAGTTTTTTTCTTCATTTTTTCCCACGCAAAATCAGGTACCACAAATAATGATCAGACTGGGTTGAGTGATATATCATATTTGACTCGTGATTAGAACCACACTAAAAAATTCCCAAAAATTATTTTTAGCGTCCTTGAAAATTTAGTTTTATTCAAGAAGAGTTAGTTTGAGATTTTAGCCCCTATTAGGTATCAAAAAGATCAAAATTTCAGAAACAAATTTGAAAAATTTTGGAAATTAAAATTTTTGTTTACTTTTTTCCCGTTTTTCAATTAGCCTGTTTTAATATGACTGTCACATATGCCGAAGTTCTAGTTTATCGTTTAGACCCTTTTGTCACATCACGCAGAAAAAAACGACAATTTGAATAAAAAACTTTTTCGTATTTTTTAAGACTATGATCAGAACATTCTGTGCTACTTGCACAGTAACCGGCTATCCTTGTTTATTTTTATTTGTTTTTTTTAGGCTCTGTAATTCTGCGAAGCGGAGCAGTTTTACAAAGTGAAAGTTACGACAATACTGAAAACAGTCTTCAATCACAGTTTCAGAATCTTGACGAACAGACTAGGAACGAGATTCTCGACCTGTCAAACTGCAAGCAGCGAACACCAAAACTACCACCACTTCTCGGAATATTCCAGACGAATTGTTCATATATCGAAGACCTTGACACGTACTTCTTGTGTGTCCTATTTTCAAGGTTAAATCATTCGTGCGCGGCAAATTGTAGTCACGTTTTTGATAGAAATGGAAAACAGAAAATCGTCCGGTCAATTCGAAACATATCAGGTCAGCAAAACCAAAGCTACTGAAAACTTTCTTTATTGATAACCAAAGTTGGATAGCATTTTCCAGCAAAGTGGAAAAAACATATATCCTGTCGAAAACATTATCTGTGTCTTTTTGGTACCTTTTTAATCTTTTGAGGTTCAAAATTACGTTAAATCAATTCAAAGCACTTTGAATTTCAAGGATGGCATATGATTGTCATTTTCTGAAGCTAAAACTTAACCAAATTGAGAAAACTGGACTGCTTAAAACTTTTTTCTGAAAAAAAAGACAACCACCAAACCGAAAAGAAGTAAAAAAATATCTTCGTTCATTAGCAAATCGCAAAAAAAAGTATAAAATACAATAAAACAGTTCAAAAAATTGTCTTTCAGAAAACGAAGAGCTTACAATTTGCTATCTGAACTCTCCGAGTCAGTGGTTTCTGGATCTAACCGCCAGACAAGCTGAGCTAAACCACTTCTATTCCTTCCATTGTGACTGCATAAAGTGCTTATCTGATATTCAACTTCATCTGGACTTACAAACAAAACAATCAGCTGAAACTAAACTAGCCTCTTTATTCGACAAACTAAACAGCAAAGTTCACGCTTTCCAAACCCAGGAAGCAATTCTGAGATCCATGATAGAATTACTCGAAGGAAATCAATTCAATTTGGTAATTCAAGAATTTTTCCACAGATCTTTGTTTCTTCTTTACTGCCAAACAGGAAACTCAAAAAAGGCAAAACAACAAGCCATTAATTGCAGAAACATCTGGACGATATTGCACGGTGAGTCGAGTTTTCAAGAAAGACGCTTCGAGTTTTTCGCGAAAGTTCCGACTAGCTGTTTCGGTGAAGTTGAAACCTGCTACGGTCCATCAGAACTCTCCGAGCACGACACATACGTGCTTTGTGGTGTGATAAACTGGGCAAACTCGGAAAGCTATCTAATTTGTCGCCATTGTCTGACAGAAGTTGACAAAACAGTAAAGGAAGCTATACCATGTTCATACTGTGGGCTTGTTACATATTGCAGCTCTATTTGTCAAGTCAAACACCAGTTGGATCACAAACTTTTTTGCAACTTAGCGCAAGACTTTGGAAACAATTAAAACGTTTGACAAAAATTCAAAATTATTCTGCGATATAATTTTCGTAGGACTGCAGTTACTAGAATAACGTGTCGACAAGCGGACATTGCATATATTTGAAAACCTGTCCCAAACTTAGAACCGAAATTTTTGATTTTAGCAGAAACTTCATTTAGCATTTTTAAATCACAAATAAAACATATTTTTCAAAATCACAAATAAAAAAAATGAAAATAGAATTTAAATTTATTGTTCCGACCATTGAAAATGGGGAGGAACTTTGTATTCAGTTGTTTTTAATTTTTCCTTTTTGTTTTCCACCCGAAACCAGGTGCAACAAAAAATCATCGGTCTGGATTGAATGATACATCATATTCAAGCTTTTTCAGTCGCAATTAGAACCACCTTCAAAATTTCCAAGACAATTTCCCAGTCTCGAGAAAAACCGTTTGAAGTTTTCGATTTTTCGCCTAATTTTGAACGGGAAAAGCGAGCGAACAGGCTTCTTTATGCTTAATTTAAGCCGTTTACAGTAACTTATTTATGCTTAATTTTAGTTTTACTCGAGTAAAGTTAGCTTTTGGAGTTTTTTAACGCCATTTTGGGAATCAAAACTTTAAAAAAAAACAGCGAATTTTTGTTTTTCTTGTCATTTTTTTTCTTCAAAAATTGTTGTTGTCCAATATGCCTCTATTTCACTACCACTATGATTGTCGAATGTGCCTAATTTCTAGTTTTTGTTCAGATCCTTTAATCACAGAAATAACGACACTAACGACACACCCAGAAATAACGGCAATACTTCGAAACATCAATTTTTTTGCGTGTTTTTCGAAGACTCTGTGGTCGGAACACTCTGTGTTTCTTCCAGAGCAACCGGCTAACTTTGTTGAAATTTGTTTTTTTTGTCATTCAAGAAAAACTATGCTAATAACCATTGACTTTAATTCTAATGCAATGAACGCCAATTCAGGAAACAATGATTCGCGCCTTTAGTTGTTCAGAATCAAAATTTTTTACAAAGAAGCGAAGGTGCACTCAAGGTAGAAAACAGCGAATAGTAACTCCAAAATAAAACAGAAAAAAAGAAATAAACAAAAAGCAAAATGAATTTTGAAAAAAACTTATGCTTTGAGCCTAAATGGATTTGCCAGCCCGAAGATAACGAGTCCCACGTCCTCGCATCTGCCCTGTCATCCTCGCATCTGCCCTGCCCTGCATAACTTGCCCTGTCATCTTTTAGATCTTGCTTATTTTAATGATACACCGTTGGAACGTTCCAAGAAAATTAAGAACACAGAACTGATTTATCAACTTGTGATTTTTGCTCCAACAACTCTCGAAAGGAATGAGAAGGAACTGTAGCTCAGGATGAGTTTTCTTCTGCCCAAACTCAAGCGATTCAAAAAAAGGTCGAAGGGGGTCAAAAAGAGTTCTTTAAAGCAGCCATTTCATCCAAACTTCGAATTCCAAAAAATATATATATTTAAATTTTTGCTTCTCAGACTGAAATTGAAGAACAAACCTTTTACGCAACAATAACAATTTATCATATGCAACAACCGAACGGTTGCTGGACGTTTTGAAAAAATAATGTCCGGACTTAATACCACACACTTACCAAACTTAGCCAATAGACAGTTGAAAAGAGTCAATGAACGCACGGAAACAAAAAAATTGACTTGTTACAACAACTTCAACTTTTAAATTTCAAAAAAAAACAAGACTGCTCGTATATCAGGGCAAAGCCCTGAATGTTCCGACTGCACTTAAGCCAAATTGAATAGTATCTTTTTTGGTTGAATAATTGACAAAATAATTTAGAAATTTTTTTTTTCATTTTATCCCACAAACGCTGAGTAAAACACTAAGGGTGTGTTTAGCGTCTCGCATTGTAATAATAGAATTAAATTGCCGGCCTCAAGTCTATTTGGAACAAAACAATTCGCTTCTTACGAGTGTTATAAGAACGCAATATATCGCACTTTAATTATCCCTTCTTGGCCAAATTAGCAATTTTCAAACACCTGTAACTTTACTAAAAATAATCACAGTTAAAATACTTCTTTGAGAGATATTGTTATTCTAAGCTCAAATTTAAAGAAGTTAAAGAAGGTATAAGAAATTTAGTCAAAAACGCTTAGTTAACAAGTCAAAAATTGACTGAATAAAAACACAGCAAGCTTAAATATTCCTCTTTTTCTTCGAAAGTCGGAACAAAAATTTATGGCCCGAACGGTCTTTGAATTTTTGGAAACATTTATGAAAGAAACTTGTTTAAAAAAATTAACTTAATTTCAGAAAATTGGAACAATACTTTATGTTTCTATTCCACTGGAAAATCCGAAAAATGCACTGGAAAATGTACTTTCGAAATTAGAAGTCAAATCAAGTTTTAGTGACATTTACACTTTTGCAGTTCAAAAGCCGAGCTTGTCCTCCTTCTAAAAAAGAAATGATCAGGACTCAGGAAGAAATGAAATATCAAGCCGCAAAAAATCAATTTTGAACAATTTTGAACGGATTTTGAAAAATTGGAACAATACTTTGAGTTTCTATTCCACTGGAAAATCCGAAAAATGCACTGGAAAATGCACTTTCGAAATTAGAAGTCAAATCAAGTTTTTGTGACATTTACACTTTTGCAGTTCAAAAGCCGAGCTTGTCCTCCTTCTAAAAAAGAAATGCTCAGGACTTAGAAAAATGAAAATTCAAGCCGCGAAAAATCAATTTTGAAAAAAATCATCGCTACCTATATAAAAAAAACTTTACTGCGTTTATCGATTCTTGTTGAAAAAAAAAACGATTTGTTTATTAACTTCTGGCAAGGATAACTGTGGCCAGCATTTTCTGAGCTACTTGTGTGATAAACCGCTACATTTGTATTTCAAGATGCATCTTATACAAATATCCCCGGCAGCGCTTTGCATTACACAAGCAATTAAAACAGCGAGTATTTGAACGTTGTTAAATATTATGCGGAAAAAAGATAAAAAATATTTTGAAACTTCTCAACTTTAACCTGTCAACCTACTGTTTTCTACTTTCATAATTTACTTGGCCAATAAGTGTGCAAATACTTTATCTCTAAGCCAGCTATTAAATTGATTTCCCGCCACGTATCAAGCAAAATATCGCCCGTTAAGCAATCTTCAGCTTATTGAGACAGTGAGACCGAAAAGGTGTAAAACTGAAATCAAGTTTCCACTGTTGTAATTGGTGCGCGCAACTTACCGCCCATTTAAAAAATAAAATTAAAATGAACTTCAAAAAACTCAAAAGCCCGTCTTAACTAAGATGTTGAGTCAACAAACACAATTCAAACTGGTTCATTAAAACTTGAAAACTAAAGCCATAGAGATACAAACTTTTCTTACGATTGTAAAAACATAGTAACTTTTGAAACTCTGCCACTGATAAAGAGGAGAAAACATGTCATTCAACTACCAATTCTATGCAGCATAAGTGCCACCACAATGAGCATTATTGGATTCGAACAATTCGAGTTGGATTGGAAAAGGGAACTCGTGATAGAACACAATGCTCATAACCTTGTTTCTGTTAAAACCAAACTAGACAGAGGGGCGAAGCTGGGTTTCGCGAACACTAGTGAGAAAACGACAAAAAAAGCAGTCTATAAATTGAAAAAAAAGTAAAAATCAGGCTTGAAAATTTAACTTTTTGCTATGGCAGATTCGATCTACGACATGGAGGTTTAGAGTCATCTGTCCGCGTATCTGCGCCACGGGCCCTTACCAATTGGTTACCAGTAGCCACAAATAAAGCAGCTCCATATGCTAAGAAATTGCTATTGCTCTGCAGCAAGTGGCACCATATATAAATAGACACAACTTTGCATGCAATAATTTGGAATATACTAAACTAAATGCGTCTATTTTAACTTTTCATGGTATTAATTGGAAAACAAGCTACCAAATTATGAATAAATTATGCATTTCAAAACAAATTCCAGATATATTGAGCAGGAAAAACTCTGAAATGGAATTTTTGTACTCTTCTTTGTAACTTTAGCTTCTTTTGGTTTGTTTGATGAGTCAACTTATAACATATCGAATGTCAAAGCACATGCTACCAAATACCGCAAAATTGGCAGCAATATTCGCTACTTAGATTGGAAAAAATAACAGTCTTACTATAACACTACGCTCGTAAAAATGAGGACTCAGAAAAAAAAGTTGGTACAGAATGTTAAACGGCTGGACAAAAATAAATTATATTAAAATCAGTTTGGCCCAATGCCACTTGATGACCTGAAAGCCTCAGTGCCTAGTTTGAACTCATGCTTAGCAGCTTATAATTTTACAGCAAGAAATCTTGCAATCTTTCTGTTTAAAAATTTATGCCATAGCAATCTTATGAAGTCTTGAGTTAACGCCATTGCAGCTACACAAGCACACCAATTGAAGTAATCTTGCAAAACCAACGATGAAAACCGAAGCCATGAGTGATGAAGAAAAAACAAGACAATGATTACACTCGGTGAAAACGACATACGATCAAAGATCAAGCAAAAAATTGAACAACTTTCATGAATTTGCAATTTTACGAAACACCAAAGCATCAAGCATTTACTTTGCATTAATCCGCTGAAGAAACTTGAGGGTTGAGCCAGTACTCCGGAAAACATATTAACCGGCGGCTGAGCCTTCGATTGATCTGGATAAGTATTGATCATTAAATTTTGTTTGCGATTTGCTTCATAATTTTCAAAGTTTGATCGTGGAAAAGATGCCATTTCTGCTCCTCTTAACACTTCATGTTGTCGAATATTATCAAACGGCGACGCGAAAACTTCCGAAGTAGACTGAGTTCTGCGACGATGCGCCGGCGACAGACTTCGGCTACTCGGGGTCAAAGCCGAGGATACAGCGTCGGAGTGTTTCCAAGTTTTGAAAGGGGAGCTATGTTCAGAATGGGGATACAGGGGCAGATGCATGCTTCGTTTGACATTAGAAATCAGTTTGTTAACTGTATCCGCGCCCCATGTGTTTTGAGGCGCAGAAAATCCGAAGGGACCAGCTGCTAGAGCACGCATGGTAAACATATAACACTTAGCTCGGAATACATAAACAGACACGCAATACGTAATATCTCCAATGACAGAAATCAGTAAAATGCACTTCGTTCATTACCACTTGATAACTGATTTTCAAAATAAACAATTATCAAGACGTGTCTGATGTTTGATTTTCAAATGACATCAAATAAAAAATCGAAATTTCAAGGCATTTTCATACATAATAATGTTACACTTTAAAAACTATTGCATATTTGAACCCTCTCTATAGTTTGTTTTGAAATTTTCAAATTTTGAAGTTAAAGTTGCCGAAAAAAGGGTTGACAAAAAATGATCAAAGCAGATGCGACATATAAAAGTGCACATAAACCAATTTCATCCGGGGAGAACCCACAAAAAATAGAGTCAGCTTTAAGTGATCGCGCCTTCTGCATGTAATAAATTTTAAAAAAAACTTGTAATAAAATTTATTTAAAAAAAAACATGTTATTATCTCAATTAGTGATCATTGAACTAATCCAACGACATATTTTCAACACAGATTTGTTCTTCTTCTTTCCCTGATAATTCTGCTCATTCCTGAATGGAAAACTAAACAAGTGATAAGTTTAAATCAAAATATATTATAAATCAAAAAAAAACATCAAAATTCAAATCAGAATGAGGTCAAGGAGGAAAGGATGAGGTTAAGTGATGATTGCTAATCTTACCATTGGCATCCATTTGAGACTGAGTTGCAGTCCACATATTGTTTTGCTGTCGATTCCTGTTTGCCACCATAGAGTCTAAAAACAAATCTAAATCACACTCAGTGTCTGATCTTAGAAGACTGATCAAAATCATTCAGCTTCTAAGACTGAATAAAAAAAAATAAAATATAGTTAAGCAAAACAGGTTAGAATCAACCATGGATCTCGTTAACTACCCCCCCCCCCCCACCCTAGGGTACCTAGTAACGAATTGTCACCCCTATAATGAACTAACTAAACGGTTAAGCCAATGTGAATTTTCTACCTAGTAACGCATCTCCCTCCCCCTTTGGCAAAGGGTGGGGGTGGGGTAGTTAAAAGATCCTCAATCATTTATGTAAGTGGAGCATCGCTGAGAAAGTCATATCTTCAGACTTAACTCTCGGCCTCCATTTTTACTGTAGGCCCATTATACATTTGGGTATAGTGACTACTCTTATAAGAGCAATCAACAGTTGGGCCATATTTAGTTTATTCAATTTTATTGGTAACTTAATCTGGAATTTCTCATCTAATTCCCAACAATTGTCTAGCCATTAGTCTCTAAGTTACACGTATGCAATCTGAGTCGGCTTTTTTTGCTCCAACAAATTTGCGGCAAATTTTTGTTGACTGCAAATTTCTATTGGCTGCAAATTTGTGGCAAATTTCTGTTGACTGCAGTTTTATGAAATTGTGGCCTTGAAGTAAGTGGCCTTTGCTTCAAACGCAAATTCCGCTTCGCTTCAACGTCATTTCATAGCCTATAATAGATTGGACAAATAATTTCCGGTTAACTAAAAATTCAGCATTACATAGAAGGAACTTCGCATCGCTTGCGACAAAAATTGACGACAACGGTAAAAGAATCATAAAACTCGGAGATAAAAAGATGTATCATATATTCTGAAAACATCTAAATAAAAAATGAAATCTAGAACAGCTATCCGTTATAAAAATTAACTTCAAAAAAAGACAATTTGTCACAAACTACAAAACCAAAAAACGCTGCCTGAAAATGTCAAAATTGTATCGTGATGCACATTTATCAAAAAAATAGAACAAACAAATCAAAAACATGGCCAACACACAGTTGGAACAGAGTAATGAACGCAAGTAACAAAAAAAACTGACTTAGTTGAAAAATCTATACTTTCAAAAATCACAGAAAAAAATAGATGCCCTCTTTAAGCTCTTTGAATTTCCAGTACCCATTATGATTGACGCTTTCTTGATAACAGTAACCCAACTTGAGAAAACTGGAGTTTTTTTTCCGGCTGGAAATCCAATAATTAAATTCCTATTTCGAAACTAGTAATCGTTCACGTTTTTTCGCGCCATTTCCACGTTTGTATTTAGAGAGTGCTTTTTACGTAACTTTCAGCAAATGAATTTCAATAGAACTCAAAAAATGCTTATATATCTAAGTGAACTCATAAATGCATTAATATGTATGAATGCAAATCTGTAGTTATTAGAGCCCTTTGAAACTTTTTTTCTGAAAAAAAAAAACAAACAAAAAATAACGAAGAGCTACTTAAGGGTCTTCAACCAAAGTCCGTATTCGCACCAAAACCTCAAAACTTTTTCGCATTATCAGCAAATTTCTAATTGAAGAAACTATTGTGCCTTCATTTAATAAAAAAAATTGTATTGCAATTTACAAGAAATCAAAAGCAGAACCGCAAAACATCAACAAGATTTAAACAACTTTAAAGATCTTAATAAATAACTGCTTGTCGTTCATTGACATTTAACAAATATATCAGATAAATGGGAAACAAAACCGATGAGAAACAAGGATAGACGGTTACTGTGCAAGTAGCACAGAATGTTCCGACCAGTCTTAAAAAATGGCAACAAATTTTTTTTCCAATTAGTGTTCGGCTTGGTGAGATAAAGGAATCTGAGCAAAAAAGTAGATGTTAGACATTTGTGTCAGTAATACAAAATATGCAAATCTGAAAACTATTTTTGACAATAAATAACAAAACAAAAAAAATTTTCAGATAATTTTTCAAATTTTTTTCCCTAAACTTTTGAAGTTTTTGATTCCTAAGAATAAGAAAAAAAACTCCAAAAACTAACTTCATTAGAGTAAAACTAAATTTTCAAGGCTTAAATTAAGCATGAATAAGCTAATGAAAGCCTGCTCACTCGCTCAAAATTTGACGAAAAATCAAAAACTTCAAACCGGGAAAACTTTTTCTCAACACCGAGAAAACTTTTTTGAAGTTTTTTGATGTCAGTCGAATCACGACTGAAAGGGCTTTGATATGATAAATCATTCAACCCAATCCGATCATTGTTTGTGGTGCCTGATTTTGCGTGGGAAACAAAAAGAAGAAAAAAACTAAAACACCCGAATACAAAGTTCCTCCCCATTTCCAATGGTCGGAACCCGGAACAATGGAGTTCCAATTGATAAATTTAAAAAAAACTCAAGGTCCGACCGCGATTCAAGCTGTATACATATGTCAGTCAAGATCGACGCGCAACCTCTTACATTTTCGCATTATTGCTGTTACAGAATCAAGGAAAAGGCGGGACTCAAAAATTTGACCTCTTGACAGAAAGAAGATATGTTTAATGAAAAAGGTTTGGTTCCCGTTTAAACGACGTTTGCCATCGCAAAGGTAAAACCTCAGTTAAATTTTATTTCTGATTTTAGAAAAAATTACTCTTAAGTTTAGAGCAAATTATATGATGAAACCAGAACCACTAATAATTATTCTTTAACTTACCGTCTCAATTATTTATTCAATATGGTTTTACAAAAACTTCCAACCAGACACCCATTTTTTGAGCAATCAATTCAAAAATTGTGGACAACTCACAGTTGTCGCTGGTTGCTCCAGGGGCACTCTTTTGCCTCATTGCAGTGGTATTCGGAGGAGGGGATGGAATAGGCAACGAGTGGGAGGACGAAGAGTCGTGTACATGGAGATCATACCATCTCAGCTCCCCGTCGAAAGTGACCTGGTCCAAACTCAGCAGCACCTAATCAGTTATTTGGCTGTGAGATCCAAATTGATGTCAGCCCGATTTGGCCTCTATGCAAAAAAAACCGCTTGCCACAAAATATTACTCATGGAGTCTATAACAATGCTCATCATACAATTTTCAGATAAATTTTTCAAAATTGTTTTAAAAAGACTTATACATTAAAAAAATTTTCGTCTCTCAAGGTCAAAAATGTTTACCAGCGTTTTTTTTACAGCTGAACGTCCCGGCCAGCGCAGTTTAACTCCTCGCTTGTTCAAATCAACATAAGCATATGATGTGCCTTTCGCTTATCTTCTCCATGCTTTAAGCGTTGTATTCAGCGACCAAAATTTTTTCGATGTAGCTATACATACTGGAGAAATAAATTAATTTTTATCATTAAAAACCGATAAAGAAATTTTATTCGAATGCCGTCAAAGATCATATTCATTCCATATCACAGATTCCATATTGCTTTTATTAAAAATTCTTCTTCTCAACAGTTTTTTCAAATTTACCTAAAAGACAATCAGGACCTCTACAAACTGTTTTTTTAACTTCAGCCCTTAATTTAATTTGTTTGTTGAGTTGATGCTGGCTGCCTTCTCTTTAATCTCCAGGATATCCTACTCGATGAGCAGTACTGCTCTTTAGGATCTCCCTCCAAGCATAATATATTGCTTTTGGCGTTGTATATGTAGCTGGTAAAGTAATTCAAATTTCAATTTCAGTACTTTTTATATTAGTCTCAGAGACAAATTCGAGTTTACCAAAAGTTTAAGGAAAATTAACTACTACGTAGATGAACATTCAACGCCAGACAAACTCAAACGAATTGGTTCATCAGCTTTTGATAAAATTGACACCAACCTCTCCTAGAAACTCTTTCACGGCTGGTGGCCCCCCTGCGCCCCCTGCAGCTGCCATGGACATGGACATAGAATGATGTCCATCTGTGCTATTAGCAGAGGTGTCTATGAAACTGTTGTCCCACAAAGTAACCTCCAGTTCCTTCTCAAGTAACTGACTCCTCCCAATGTAAAATGTGAACACCTTAAACATAAACAATAAATGCTACTATTCCCATGGAAGAAAGAAAGAACAATTACGGAAAAACTCTCAACCAATCAACCAGGCGCGGATCTAGAATTTTATTGAGGAGGAGGAGGCGGGGGGATTCTAAGTTGATTGATCGAGCTTTTATACAATTAACCTTCTGAGAGCAGATAAACAACTTCAAAGCACACGAGTGAGTGTCAAATATTTCAATCGTTGCCAAGGACATACCAAGGATCCACAAAAATGCTGTGTCGAACAAAAGTGGCGACAGATGATGATGATGATGATGAGACCCAGAAATTAGGCAGAAACTTAAGCGTACCTGGTTCCACACCGGCTGTAGAGTGTCGTAAGATGTCTTTGTGCGTCTCAATGAGTCATCGCGTCTGTCTGGGAGGAGGTACAGCTTAGCGTAGGGGTTTCGAGTCCCGCCTCCAACCCCGTCGTTCCTCGAGATGAGGTCAATCGCCTGGTTTAAGGTCACCGTTAGTTGATTGTCTTTCTCACTGTAGCTCAGACTCATCTAAATAGAACGAAGAAACTCAACACTTCAACTTCAAAATGATCTCCTAAATATTCTGAAAAACTCATCATAATGCTTCAATCTGATTCGTGGTTGAAAAATTAACTACTATAAAACAAAATGATTATCTGAATCATCATTTCAAATCGAAGCTCATAATCACGAACGTATAACTGAAAAAATCCGATCATCATTTAAGGTACAGTTCAAATACGGAGCCATCTTATAGTTATTATTAAGTCCTTTAGGCGATCAAGCAGTTTTGCTATTAAATTACAGCAAGCAGCAATTATTTCGTATAAAAAACGGTTAAATATGCATTAGTACGAAAAAAAATTAGTATATCAATAGAAACAATCAGTGACCGATTTTTTTTGACCTGGGCTCTTTGAAAAATGTTGTCGCCATTTTTAGGTCAGTATTTTTTGTTGAGCACAAGTTTGATTAGTATGAGTTTTTACAATTTCTTTTATTTAGATCGACTTCAGTTCGCACGAAGAAGGAGCACATGTTTGTTTTTTTGCCTAATTAAGATTTATTCCGACTTTAAAATACCACTACCGCAACATCCACACCTTTTCGCACTCCTTTTATAAACTAATCTATTTGGCCAAATCTCTCTTAATTAGCTCAAGGAAACACCCATTCATATTCGGCTTCCCAAGTCGCCACCATATTCACAGATGACACTAAAATAATTTAAAGCAAGAATTTTTATGCCGGGTTGATTCTCAAAACGAGAACTCATTTTTAGTTCCAGCTTTCTTGTGTAAGGAGATATTCGTAACTGGGTACAAAGTTGACACAACCGTTAAATTATTTCTTTATACGGAAGGAAAATCATTACTTGGCACCAAAGAGTGGGGAAATAGAAAAGGAGATCCAATCAAACTTCAAAATGCTGAAATACCACGAACTAGTTTCTATAATTAATATGCAAGAATTAATGTCAATAGAAACGCTAACTAGACAAAAAAATCATCGAACTTATTTTTCAATCATTCCTTTTCATGGGATTAAGAGTAATTTCTGTAAAAATGAAACTAAAATTAATATCATCAGTCTAGAAGGATCTCTTTAACTATTTGCGCCCTTTGGTACCGTGTAACGAAATTACCAACTCTATAAATAACTAATTCAAAGGTTATGCATCTGTGAGTTTTGTACCCAGTTAAGAATCTCCCTCCTTTTGCAAAAATGGGTGATAGTTAAAGAGGTCCGTCTAGTAATTGTGAAGAACCAGCAACAACATTAACAGCGTCATTAGTGTTCAACTGTCCACCTCTCTCAGAGCATGGATTTAGAAGTAGGGTCAGGTCGGTCAGGGCTGGGGGAAAATTGGAGGGAGGCGGCAAATGGCTTCAATGGAGGGCAGGGACAGCTTTAACAGACTACACGGGAGCAAAAAAGGAACGAGAAAAATAATAGAATGGAAAATAAAAAGAGCAGGTAAGCAGTAGACAGGGTTACATAGCGGTGAAGTAGAAGATCTCGCAAACAGACAGGCCAGTAAGCAGACAAATTTTGAAGATTCTATTTGTTGGGCTATTATTGCCAAACAAAAAAAAATAACATTAATCCCGAACGATTTTAACCATTTTTGTTTCCCTTAAAATTCACTCAAATATCAACTCATTTCCTTTTGAGCACAAAACTTTTTAAAATCAATTTTGAGTGAATATTTCAAAAACACATTTCGCATCCTTTTTCAACCAATCAAATTTGAGTATTGTCGAATTTGTCTGCTTATTGACGTGTATGAAATGGAGGTTGTCTGCATGCTAGCCGCACACAAGTAAACAGGGCATGGGCACAAATAGCCCTAAATTGGGCACAAAAACATGTAATTTGGATTACAAATACAATACAACCGCCTCTCTCTCTCTTTCTTTTTTGTCTCTCGATTTTTCTCCTCTCGTTCAGTGGTTCTCAAAACACAATAACTATACCATTCCATCCCCCTCACTAAATCATAACTGCCGCTACTTCCTTACGCACGATTAACAGAACAGTGCACTAAGTCGAATGTAACGTGCTCCGAATCGACAACAGTACATCAATAGACAGTATAAAAGGCAACAAATATACATCATTTCAAAAGATATACTCTTTACTTCGTATTTTAATATCGGTTACTTTTGTAATCGTCAAACTTCTTAGCTTCAAAAACTCTACGAGTAATTCTTTGAAGCTTCGAAGCTTTCATTGTTAACCTTGGACAGTATTTCCCTAAAACTAACAACCTCGATTACCAAAAAAATTATAAAGTAAGTGAACTTCATATTTTTGAAACTGAAAACCAATTTATTACCTCGTGTCCGGCGATCAGGACGGGAGCTTCTAATTACGTCAGGGGGGGGGGGGGGGGGGGGCTTTAACAAGACAATCACTTCAAAGAGAAAAACAGCACTTAGTTCAACCATTTAAGTTTCTTGTTTTAGTCATTTAGTCTTGTTTTTAAAACAGTATAGCCAATCTGGGAACTGTAAACTAAGTAATCTTCTAAACTTCCCGTCGTCTTAGTGACACGTCGTCCAGTTTACCTCGCACCACATGCTTTAGTGCCTAACCCAATATTTTTCACTCGCTTAGCGCATTGTTTGGGTGATCTGTGTATGTGTATGTGGCGGCTCCTTCATGTGCACAAGAACGAGTGACCTAGGCGAGCCTCTAAATCACCACGTGTAGCTTCAGGGCTTCCTGGGGTATTGTATCCCATTTGCCTCAGAGGCTGTTTGGAGCTAGAAGTGCTGCTTTGTCTGCACACTATTCTATCTAAGGTCGCACCCAGTAGCATTCACTGTGATATAATATGGTATAGTATTAAGACATCACAGTATTGAGAGGCATCCTTATAGTAAGTTAGTTACATGATAACAAATCAACTCAGTTTGGTATGCTCGAGAAGATAAAAACCACGCCACCATCAATCTAACACATATGGGTACTTTAACTTATGAATACAAATTGTAGGAAAATATCAAAAACATAATGAAACAAGGATAGCCAGTTACTGTGCAAGTAGCACAGAATGTTCCGGCCATAACCTTTAAAAAAAACTACAAGATAAAGGTTTTTTAAATTAGTTTTTCTACGTGGGGTGAACACAAAAAGTCTGAAGTTAAACTATATTTTAGGTATATTAAACATTAATGGTAAAACAGGCAAATAAGAATGAAACATTTTTTAAGAATTGACTAGAAAAACAAAAAAATTCCAAAGATTTCAAAAATTTTCAAATTTTTTAGCAGAAAATATTCAAATTTTTTCGAAACTTTGGTTTCCAGAATGGTGCTACAAAACTCCAACAATTAAATTTACATGCTTTAAGTTAAGTTTTAAAGGCTTATAGTTTAAATTTCTCCTAATTAAGCTGTTGTAAGTCTGCTCGCTTGCTTTATTCGCTCGAATTCAGACAAAAAATCAGAAATTTCAGACCGGTTTTTCCCAACACTGGGAAAACTTTTTGAAAACCCAAGCATTATTTAAGGTACCTGATTTTGTATAGAAAACAAAAAGCAAAAAAAAACACCCGAATACTAAGTTCCTCCCCATTTGGTCGAAACCAAAAATAGCACAAAAACGCTATGTCAATGCTTGCTTCAAAGCTCCTAGAACGTTTCAAATATGACAACCAAAAAGGTTGAAACGGCAATCGGTTCTTTCCCACTTCACATAGGTATCGTTTTTATAGTGTAACGACAAACAGAAAAACCTTTCATAAAAAATTGCAGATTGCGTGACGGAAAGAGCCCTTCTCAGAATTTAAAAATCCAGTTGCCTGGCAAGTAGGACAAAAAATTCCGATCACTCTGAAACTATCGTAGAAGCAATGGTAAAAATTAAACAGAGGTAGAGCTGCCATTCGGAAACACACCAGCAACAATAACAGCGAAACTGTAAATCATAACTTTAAGTAACTCAACATCTAATCAATGTACGCATAGAGTTCCGTTTTCATAAGAAGATTTGTATATATCACCAATTAATTTTACCGATGTCTTCGAGGTGAAATTGTTATGAACTTACTTAAATGTGTAATTTTATTTATATTGTTAAAGTGTAATTTGTTGATTATATTCCCGCAGTAAACTAATCGCATTTTGACATTTCTTAATTTCATTTACTGAAAAATATTTAGGCAACTAGTCTGAAATTTGAACTTATCTTAATTACACTTTTTTGTATTGATGCATAGACTTTTCTATAGTAATTGAAGTGCTCTTTCTTCTTCTATGCACCAACATAGGATTCTTCTATGCACCAACTAATAAACAACAATATAAAGCTGCTAGGATGATTCTTCTTTCACGTAACGCTTGAAATTAGCTACCGGGCAGTAATGAATGAGCTTTAAAACAGCAGACACAACTGATGCTTTTTGAAATCTCAAAATCGAAAATAGACTGCATCAAGAATTGAATACCAGCACTGAAAACAGAAAACTCGATTTGGTTTGGAAAACGCGCATTCCGTGTGTAAACACACAGAGCCAACATACCGTTGTTAAAGAGTCAATGAACCCAAGTTAACAAAAAACAACTGACTTAATGAAAAAACCTCAATTTTCGAAGAAAAAAAATAGATGCCCCTTAAACTCTTCGAATTTCTAAAACAATTAATGATTGGCGCTTTTTTGATAACATTAACCCAACTTGAGAAATTTGGATCAACAGGTAAAGTTTTTATTCCGCTGGAAACCTCAAAATTAAATTCCTTTTTTGAAACTGGCAGTCGATCACGACCTTTACACTTTTGCTATTCGACAGAGGAGTTTACTTCCTTTTAACAAAGGAAATGAGGTGAATTTAAACTGAAGCCAATAGTCACACCGCGAAAAAGTAATATGAGCCTGAACTAATTTTAAGATCTTTACTGAAAAAAAAAAACGAAAAACAAATCATTGCGACCTATAAAAGAGTCTGAAATACGTTCATCGACTTTTCAAAAGCCTTCATAAAGCCGGTTTAAAAATTAAAGATATTACAAAAAAACTTTTA